ATAGAAATTTTTTGAGGTATTTTCATTAAAAAAAAAGCCAACATTTCTTTGCAATAGTCGGTCAAAGTGTTTGACTAACGGAATTAGAAGAAAAAAACTAACGGCAGGGGGGTGTTTGATGTTTTCAATACTTCAGGGGGGTAAACGATACATTTATCATAGTACAGGGGTGCAAAATGAATTTTACCCTAATTAAAATGAAAAACAAAACTACACTGAGGCTGGCTCAGTCAAAAGCAGTCAAGCGGCAGCCCATCATTGGCTGCCACTCTCCAACTTTATATAGAAACCGACACCCACGCCCACCCCACGCGCTTCCTCACGCGCCGCACTTCTCCGGCGGCAGAATTTGGTCCGCCGTTTCTCCACCGGGATTTCCAGATTCCACAATCAAAAAGCTCCATAAAACTACAGAAACATAATCCTGCATATATATCAAAGGGTGCAGCCGCAGAAGACGAAGAAGAAGCAGAGGAAGGAGACGATCGCGACGGACTCCACGGCGGAGACGACGGACCATACGACGTCGTCCACATCGGGAAGCGGGATGCGCGGGGCCCACCGCCCGGGATCGAGTGACCCGAGGGCGAGGCTGAGGCTGCTGCTCCATCTCGGCGGCGGCGTCAAGTATGAAGTGAAAAGCCTCGGCCACCGGAAAAACGATGTAGGCAGCGAGAAACTGACGTCAAGCCACCGTGATAGCGGCGGCGGCGGCGCCGCCGTCCAACGAGACATTTTCCTTCGGTTGAGACTTGAGAGAGAAAATCAAACCTTCGTTGCTGGGCGGAATATTCTGAGCTTAATTTTAGAGAGAGAGATGTTAAAAAGGCAAAGTAGAAATGATCTGGGCCGTTGATTTCGATCCTATAGTGCTTTTCCAGCCTTTGTGGGCATGCCGGTCACGTGACTATGTTTTTCTTACTTGGATAAATTACGGCCACTCCTAAGATCAACTTACGAAAAATAAAGCAATGAATTGTTAATAATGGAAACGGAAGAAAACTCTCTCTCTGATATCTCTTCCCCGGCGAAGAACTCGTCTCTTGAAGGAGATCCACCAGATCCCCAACCCCCACCTCCACACCCACGGCATCTTCCCCAACCAACCCATAACAACCATGGCTTACCCTTTTCCACCGCACAAAACCCTAGCTCAGACTATCCCCAAACCCCACCATACTTTCCTACAACCACTATATTGGAAAAATTAAATCCACCTGAGTATGAGTATATAAATCGTCATGTTTCTATGTTAGAGGATACAACTGGAGATACCAACCATTCATACAAGGAAACGCTTATGAAAAATTCTAGACATATCTATTTTGACACATGGTTTCAGCATATAGAAGATGAATGCAAGTGGGAACTCCCGGAACCAGTAGAACACACAGAAGACACCGCTATCCCTAATATAAATTTTGAGCTGGATGAACTCCAAGAATTGTATAAACCTTGGAAAAAGTCCTTGATAATTCAAACTCTTGGATTCCAGAAATCAATTCCAGATATTGACTTCCGATTGCAGAGAATATGGAAAACAAAAGACAAGTTAATGATCACAGAGCTCGGTCAAGGATTCTATGTAGTCCAATTCAGGATTCCGGAAGAATACTTCCTTGCTCTAGCGGGAGGACCATGGTTTATTTTCCAATATTATCTCGCAATACATCAATGGAAACCAAACTTCCGTGTCTCTTCCCCTCAAAACTCCAAGATCTTCTTATGGTTTCAATTCACGGAACTCCCAATCGAATTTTACAACACCCAAGCCCTTTTCAAACTCGCCAAAGCGATTGGACGACCAATTAAAATGGATATGCACACAAGTTCAATAACTAGAGGTCGGTACGCTAGGGTGTGTGTGGAAGTAGACTCGAATCAAAAATTACCACCGTACGTGCTTATTAATGGACATAAACAATACATCAAGTACGAGTTCAGCACTTGTTTCTGCACAAACTGTGGTCGTATCGGACATTACAAAAATCAATGTCTCGAGTCAAGAGGTAAAAACGAAACTATGGAAGAAACCCATCAGAAGCAGTCCCTAATGGTCGAAGGTTCTCAGGCATGGCAATTTATTGACCGTAGAATTATAAACAGAAATAAAAAATCAGGAAGAAAATTGCTTGGACAAAAGAACAGGAACACCAGTTGGAATAAAAATAACGATGGATTTGAGAACCAGATTGATAAACCGAGCAACCCCCTTGGGATTACGAGGACCGAACGTAAACATGAAAATACTACCAAAAAGGACGATCAACTACCAAAAGTCAGGACAAAATCGCCGTCGCAGAATAAATTTGAGCTGCTGCAGAATATTGAAAACCAGGATAACAATGGCGAAACAGATGAACTCGATGAAGACGACGAACAATACACACGTGGCAAAGGCGCGTGGGAAAATAATCATTTTTCCCAGATGGGCGGTGACAGCTGCCCAATAGACAAGAAACAACAAAAGACAAAAGAAGAATATTCCAAATCTCTTTTGGGAAATACAAATGAAAATTCAAACACGCAAGTATTAATTTTTCCCGAGGGTGAAACGATTCAAAACCCTAATTCAGATGACGTCACCAAACACGCCAGCTCTACAGTACTACCCACTAACTTGAAATATGACGATCTATATTCCATGCAAGGTGATTTAAATTTTCCACACCCCTCACTCCCTCCCACACCACTCCAGAAACCTCCACTGCACAATGACTCCCAACACTCCCCCCTTATCTCCCCCACACCGGCACCACTCCCCACCAACCACTCTGCAACTTCTCCCCCCAGCTCCGGTCATCGGAACCCCCTCTCCGATCGTGGAGAATGGCTTCCCGACCTCTCCAGTGACCCCAAATATCCACCAGGCTTCGAACCTGTTTTTGAATTCCAGTCGAACCCCACGAGCTCCACCTCCCTTTATCCTAAACCCAAATCCCGAACAACTAAGCCATCCACTCGGCCACCTCCCAAATCGAAACCAAATGATTCTGGTGGGTCCCCACACCTATGTGATCCAACCCTACCACCAGAATCCTCACTTCTTTGTAAGCCCACCTTCAACACCAAGGATGTTGGTGGATCTGGCACAAGAAAGAGAGCCATTCGCCCGGGGAAGAGAGTATCAGTTCCGAATGATCCTACTCCCACTAAACAGTCCAAACGGCCCGGGGCCATTCACGACCTCGTTGTCGAACCCAAACGACAATTCCACTCCGATCCCAGGCATGATAGGGTCCTCGTCCCGAACTTACAACCCTCCACACACCCAAATGAGAATCCTTTCATGGAATAGTCGAGGAGCACACAGGCCTGATTTCGTTAATTCGGCTCGTGCCTTAATTAACCGCTACAATCCCCATGTGTTTATCGTCCTCGACACTCGTATGAATGCTGATCGGGCAGCAGCTACTATACCTAGGCTGCCTTTCACTGACCATATAGTTGTTTCTGCGCTTGGTTATGCAGGTGGGATGTGGGTTCTATGGACTGGAAATCTGGTGAGCGTTCAGCAGGTGCGAGTTTCGAGCCGTACTATACATGCAATAGTATCCATGAACCCAGGAACGCAACCTTTTGCGCTTTCAGCAGTGTACAACTACCCGCAACCAAACCGCCAAATCCAGGTATGGGAAGATCTTTTAAATTTCGCTAACTCAATATCCATGCAATGGGTTGTTCTTGGAGATTTTAATAATATTCTGTCCTTCAACGAAAAAAAAGGTGGCAACACCCCATCTCTAAAAAGAATTACAGAATTTAGTGATTGTATTAATGCATGCGGTCTCATGGATTTAGGGTTCTGTGGTCATCCTTTTACATGGAATAATCGTTGTTTCGGCAAAAAATTTATTTGTGAAAGATTAGATCGCGCTCTTGGTAATGTTCTATGGATTAATAACTTCCCAAACTCTAAACTATATCACCTAACGGCTAGCTCTTCTGACCATTCTCCCATCATGTTGGACACTCATGAAACTCTTCCTGCATTTAGAAAACCGTTTAGGTACGAGATTGCCTGGTCTATGCATGCTGATTTTATAAATGTTGTCACTGATATATGGAATTGTTCATCTCAGAATAAGAATCACACGTTCATGCAAAAATACTTCATTTTCAAAAATAAATCTATTTGGTGGAAAAAACATATCTACGGAAACCTTGATAACCGCATTAGCGATAAAACGAATGAGCTCGATCAGATCACTAAAGCGTTTTACTCCAACTATAACACCCTGCTTCACAACAAAGAATCACAAATCAGAAGTGAGCTTAACCAACTCCTTCAAATGAAAGAGATTTATTGGAAACAAAGATCTAGAATTAATTGGCTGAAG